TTTTGTAAAAATTTCAGTCTTTTTGATGAAAGTATTCTTCGGCATAACTTCAGCCGGAGTTCCCTGAACTTTGACAGGCCTTCCCTGAACTACGGCAGCACTTACCTGAGGTTCAGCAGACCTTCCCTAAACTTCGGCATGAGTTCTCTGAACTTCATCAGGACTTCCCTGATTTCCAAGAATTGAAATAAAACGATTTCCCTGAACTTCAGCAGCCCTTCCCTGAGCTTCGGCAGAACTTCCCTGAACTTCGGCAGAACTTCTCTGAACTTCAGCAGGACTTCCCTGAACTTTAGCAGGACTTCTCTGAACTTTAGCAGGACTTCCCTGAACTTCGGTAGAACTTCTCTGAGCTTCGGTAGAACTTCTCTGAGCTTCGGCAGGAATTCTCTGAACATTGGTAGGACTTCCCTATAGTTCGGAAAACTTCCCTGAACATCGGCAGAACTTCCCTGAACTACAACAGAACTTCTCTGAATTTCCGCAGAACTTCCCTGAACTTCATTCAGCAAGACTTCCCTGAACTTCGGAAGGACTTTCCTGAACTTTAGCAGGACTTCCCTGAACTTTAGCAGGACTTCCCTGAACTTTAGCAGGACTTCCCTGAACTTCGGTAGAACTTTTCTGAGCTTCGGCAGGAATTCTCTGAACATTGGTAGGACTTCCCTATAGTTCGGAAAAACTTCCCTGAACATCGGCAGAACTTCTCTGAACTACAACAGAACTTCTCTGAATTTCCGCAGAACTTCCCTGAACTTCATTCAGCAAGACTTCCCTGAACTTCGGAAGGACTTTCCTGAACTTTAGCAGGACTTCCCTGAACTTTAGCAGGACTTCCCTCAACTTTAGCAGGACTTCCCTGAACTTCGGTAGAACTTTTCTGAGCTTCGGCAGGAATTCTCTGAACATTGGTAGGACTTCCCTATAGTGCGGAAAAAGTTCCCTGAACATCGGCAGAACTTCTCTGAACTACAACAGAACTTCTCTGAATTTCCGCAGAACTTCCCTGAACTTCATTCAGCAAAACTTCCCTGAACTTCGGAAGGACTTTCCTGAACTTCAGCAGGGCTTCCCTGAACTTCATCAGGACTTCGCTGAAGTTCGGCAGGCCTTCCCTGAACTACGGAAAGACTTCCCTGAGCATTAGTAGGACTACCTTGAACTTGGAATCTTTGAATTGAAGTTGTCATTTCAGTAGTAGATTTATTATAATCTTACAATAATATTATGTTTACGAATATGTTCAAAATTTCAATACTTTCCATTTTTCTAATTTGCAATGCTTGTTAGTATTGGTGCATTTCGAATTTGGGTGTGGTTTGAACGGATGTGGATTCAGTATCAACGGAAAAGCATTAACTTTCACCTTAATACAAAGTGGTAGCGTTTTGCTTTCTTGTGCAAAACTGTGCATTTTTAAAGCACTTGCAACTTTGTAGAATTTTAAAAAAATATAGTAAAATTAAAACAAATAAGTTATGGTAAAGAACGCTTTTTAAGGTGGTACTACCATTTGTACTCCATTTTCACTCTATGACTTCCTAAGTAACATTTTAAATTTTATGAAATACTGCAAAGCAACTATAAAACAACATTCATAAAACCCTGGTCAAGGCTATTTTATCATTAATGCATCCACCAAAACCTCATTAAGACTAGAATATGTCTAGTTGGCCCACCCTGGAAAAGTTCGGAAGGGTGTATTCTCGAAGCTCTTCAAGATTGATTTACTGCAAAAGGTTGTATGACGAACCCATTGAAAACCATTTGAAAGCTACAATAAAAGCTATTTGGCAACAATAAAAACCTTGCCGCTTGCTAAATCCACTTGGAAAGCATCAATAAAGATAGAAAAGGATTTATGAATCTGAGCTTATCAAAATAATTAACATAGAAACTGATGGTATAAAAATCTTGTTGAATATCCAAATTTATTGCAATAGTTCTCATTAAGTGGCCTTGTTTTAAGAGCCTTATTAAATGTTATGTGAAATGTACGTGAAAATATCAAAAAAAAAAAAAATAAGTCCGCCCTCGTAAAACGTCGATTTGTCTAATTATTTTAGATTGAAAAAAAAATATTCTTCAGATCGAGCTTGGCCGAGATTTTTTTTATATAATTTTCACATTTAAATGTTTACTTATTACTAAATTTATCAAAATATAGTTATATCCCTGGAAATATAGATTGAAAATCGAAGATAGTAAAAAAAAAAAACAATCAAACTAATTGTAACATGGCGGTGGCATAATAGTTGATTTTCATGGGCCATTTGTGAAAAAGTTGTTTTGCTTTCAAGAAATCCTTAACAAATTCATGAGGTTTAAAAATGGCTTTTATGAAGAAAACTTGCCGGCTGAATTATATTTATCTAAAGCCATTTTGCTTGATCCTAACCCGTTAAGATTTATGGCAGCATTTATGGAGGCAAATTTGCCTGCAAAAAGTTAAACGTCAAAGTTTGTTTATCTTTCGATAGTTGCGTTGTGGGATCCAGTGTTCTTCTAGGCGATTTTTACCCGATGGATTCGGAGCAGTTACTCAGATAGTTTGCGATACTGTTTTACAACATTTCGCATTTCGAACAGCTGGAAGCGCAATCGTTCCCGATCTCCTTCTTCCGGATGGTTACAGAAGTGCACCATCCAACGATGCAGAGATGTACGCTTGAATGAAATTTCCGAAGAGTTGATTCTTTCGCCGAATAAAATCGTTTCTATGGATCGGAAACCAGCTAGTCTCCGCTAATTATAAGTTTCAGTGATTTGCTGTTATTTCGATTGTCATCTATTCGCAAGATCTGGAGAAAGCTGGTATGTTTTTATACATTCGACAATGTTTTATGAATTCGAGGGCCACGCTCACTTTACTCTTCTCCGCCAGTTCTTGCTTGAATTACAGAACAGTCTTAAGGAGGGATTGAAAACTTTTTTAAATTTATTTTTAAAACAAGACAGTTTTTGACTTTCTTGCCAAACTATGAAAGCACAGACAAACAGACGTAATTCTTCATTGTGTATCTTCGTTCATGCATTTAACGGTTGATTTGAATATTATCAGTTCCGCGAACTACTCGCCGCAGCGCTGGCATCGGATCACTTTGACGTTTATATATATTCTATAGAACTTTTATGCAATATTGTTTAAGAGTTAGCGAGCAAGCTTGTTTTCCGCGAGAAGCCAGAGAGATGTCGTTACTGAGGTTATATGTTTTGAGAAACTATGTTTTCAAGAACAAGTTTTTCAAAGAGTTACGTCTGTTTGTCTGTGATGAAAGGTTTTTTAAACAGCAAAAAAAAAAAAAAAAAATAGCTGAATTACTAAGCGGGAACGTTTTACACTGTGAAATGCTGTATTTAATATAAGCATCATAAATCATAATGGATGCGAAATGGGTACTGAATTGTTACTTGGGTTCGTTCAATTGAGATAAACATTTTTTTTTGCCTTCGAAAAAGTGTCTCAAAATGACTACAATGTTTCCAATCAATTTTATGAAGACATAAAAAAGTTATACTTTATATATATGTTAGCATAAACTTTCATTGCTCAAATAAAGTACTCAAAAAACGAAGAAACATTCCAGAAGACATCAAAATGCTACAGTCAATAGTTTCGTCGCAAATAGCCATTTACCACTTTTTTTATTTCGTTCCACTGTGAGGCGCCAAAATCCTTAAAAGGAACTATCGCCCCACCTCACTCTATATTTACATCTGTAACATTAGAACCGAATTTGTAAGGAATCACTCATAAAAAGTTATGACAAACAATATAAAATTTATTTAAAGAGAGCGTTCATTCGAACAAACAAACTGTTAAATCAGTGATTTCCCACGGAAAAAAGTTCAGACTCGAAAACACCCGCAAACTATACGAAATGGTAGAGGATTCATTCATCTACATAGTTGTGTTATTAATTTACCAGAACTTTAATTTGCAAGACATCGGAGATTGACGTGCTTGTTTGCTAAATCATGTACGCCCTAATCACGAATATGTGTATCAGCTGTAAAAATAAAAGAAGTTAAGCTTTGAAATCAGGAAAAAAAAGTAATTATAATCATTTAAACCTTCATTTGCTCAATCTCAAAATATTCTCCGGGAAAAGGGAAAGCCTTATTGAGTATTGCCAAGTACTAGTCTTGCATAACGGCAATGACCCAGTTTTGAAGCTTATTAGCAAAACAGGTCAGCAGGACGATCTAAAGCATTAGGCACACAACAATCGCCGCCGTCGAGTGTCTCAGCATAGAAACTGCCAATTACCCTTGAGGTAACACCCAATTCCAAATTTCCAAATCGGTTCTGCCTATAAATCAACACCAGCATTGTAGCACTGCGCTCTGCACTGTTACTTGTAACAGTTTGTAACCTCCCGTTGTTGAGACACTGCGGAACGGTTAACGTAAGTAAGTAAGTGATGTGGCGTGAGTAGAAGAAATTCGCGACGGCGACGACGACGACGATGGACGAGTGTGGTTTGGTAACCGACCTGAATTCGAAAGCAACCCTTTAAAACGTCCGAGGCGGGCGCAGTTCAATTATTCATTAATTTCAAAACCCAAAAGCGAACATACAGTGTGACTGACTTGGACAACTTTACCCAGAATAGATGTATACAGTGCTACTCTGCTCTATGAAGTGCGACAGCACTTCATTTCATTGTTTAATTCAAGCGGAATATCTTTATCATCTATACGCGTATATTATTAGCATTGCTCTCCAAACAAACCAAACGGAGAGCAAAGTGGAAAATAGCAACAAACATATACACATCATACGTTCCAATGGAAAACAGAAGAAAACGTCCTCCGTGAAAAATTGGAAAAATCAATGACTGACGTAAGCGCCACTGCTGAAAGACGAATTTATTTCGCTGCCCAACAGAGTGGATGAAAGGCTTCCTTTCTCCTTCGTCCTTGCGACGGCAGGAAGCGCAGGGACACATTCCTACCCATGGACCGACATTTCTTATATAATCGTCGCCAGAACTCACCAGTAATAGGCCACCGTGTCGCCCAGGCCATTCTTAACATTCCGATCCAGTAGATTATAGCAGATATTGGTTGAAGCCCCCTCCATCCATTTCACGTAGATTGGACCCTTCGAGATGTCGAAATTATACGAGAAGAAATTCTTCGGATCGTAGGGAGTTTCCCAGTGGAACTGTTTCGCTACGTTGCTCCAAAATTGACCCGGATTTTCGATGGACTGACGATAAAACTCCTGATACTGCTCCATGCTGTTGATGTACGCCTTGGAGGCGACATCGGGGTGCGGGTTGAAAACCTTCGGTTCCGAGGGCATTGTGTCACTTTTGATTTCCACTGGTGATTTTCACTTTTGCCTCAAACACAAATCACTACAAACGCACACTGCACTGCTACTGTCCCTCGAAAGGCAGGTCCAGGATCGAACGAATTTTCTATCCTAATCGATTCACGGTCGTTTGGAGAATAATGCTTCGCTCCACGCTACGAATTCTCCCCCCGAACGAATTCGCACTCTCACACTGTTCAGGCAGGCGACCCGAGTAAAAACAGCTGCGCGCATGTGAACTCCCAACAATAATTCTCCCTCTCGCAGCACTCACTCACTACTGATAGGCAGGTATTATACAGCCAATCTAAACAAACCCCCTTGTTGAAATTGTTTTTTTTTGTTTTTTTGTTGTTCACAGTCACCACTCACTCGCCAACTCACGACAGATTGTAATTATAAAAATCGAATGATATCACAGCGAAAGCAACGACAAACGCACGATACTTAATTCAGATTCACAAAGCCAGAACATCCATCCGCAGTGGGATACTCTCAGCGACTGAAAGGAACGTACATCCAGCCGTAGTGTTTTCAACGGAGTAACTCCACGTGCACTCACTCACGATTACGATATGACGAATGTTGTGCAAGCCAAACCACCAATCATGGGAAGAAAAGGATTTTCGCGGAAACGTATTCAAAGAACCGCAGTCAGCAACAAACGTGAGTGGCGCGTGCTCCCGATGGCGCGATTTTCGCTCTTGTTGATTGTGTGATGTATAGGTTACAGTCACAGCGTCGTCGTCGTCGTCGTCGTCGCTTGATGTATACCATACCTACTTACATTTCATAGCGTCGGGTCGAATCGGATGATTTCATCTCTGTTGGCCATTGTAAGTTTGGGAAAAGTTTTGAAATTGGGTTGCATGTTTTGTTTTCGAACGATAATTAGTCACTGTAATTTGATACTTGCACTACGAATTTAAGGCTATTACGCCCCAACAGGAACATTACACCTGCGCTTGGTAGTGGTTTTCATTTAGGGTGACTTTCCAGTCTCGACAAAATCAAAATCCTAACATATTATTTTTGTCCGACGTTTCGGTCCATTTAGAACCTTCTTCAGGGACTCAATACCTACAGTTTTGACGTCCATTGTAGTTCTGTAGAACGTGACAGTGCTATGGTCGCGGGTAGTCACGGGTAGTGAAGGACTACTTAGCACAAACAAAAAATTAATATTTTTACCAGGGAAAGCGCAATCGAGAAACGAAGTAAAATTTTACTTGAAATAGTGCAATCTAATTTGGAGTCCGAAAAGGGAAGTCAAATTTTAATTTGGAAAATCAAAAACGAATTTGGATTATGAGAAGCGAAATCATATTTTATTTGGAAAAGCTCAATTGAATTTGAATTACGATAAGTGAAGGCCAATTTTACTTGGAAAAGCGCTATCGAATTTGAATTACGAAAAGAGTAGTCAAATTCTACTTGGAAAACCTCAATCAGATTTGGATTACGAGAAACGAAGTCAAATTTTACTCGTGAAAGCAAAATCAAATTTGGATAACGAGAAGCGAAGTCAAATTTTATTTGGAAAATCGCAATCGGAGCATAATTAGACTTCGTCTCACGTAAACCAAATCTGATTTAGGTTTTCCAAATAGAATTTGACATCACAGCCAAATTTTACTTGAACAAACTAAATTGAATTTGGATTACGAGAAGTGAAGGCCAATTTGACTTGGAAAAGCTCAATTGGATTTGGATTACGAGAAGCGAAGTCACATTTTATTTGGAAAATCTCAATGGAATTTGAATTATGAGAAGCGAAGTCAAATTAAACTAGGAAAAGCTCAATTGAATTTGAATTACAAGAAGTGAAGGTCATTTTTACTTGAAAAAACTCTATTGGATTTGAATTATGAGAAGCGAAGTCACATTTTATTTGGAAAATCTCAATCGAATTTGGATTATGAGAAGCAAAGTCAAATTTTAATGGAAAAGCTCAATTGAATTTGGATTACGAGAAGTGAAGGCCAATTTTACTTGGAAAAGTACTATTGAATTTGGATTACGAGAAGTGAAGGACAATTTTATTTGGAAAAGCTCAATTGGGTTTGGATTACGAGAAGTGAAGACCAGTTTGACTTGGAAAATCATAATTGGATTTGGATTACGAGACGCGAAGTCACATTTTATTTGGAAAATCTAAATCGTATTTGGATTATGAGAAGCGAAGTCGAATTTTACTTGGAAAAGTGCAATTGAATTTGGATTACGAGAAGTGACGGACAATTTTACTTGGAAAAGCTCAATTGGATTTGGATTACGAGAAGCGAAGACACATTTTATTTGGAAAATCTAAATCAAATTTGGATTTTTAGAAGCGAAGTCAAATTATAATTGGAAAAGCTCAATTGAATTTGCATTACGAGAAGTGAAGGCCAATTTTACTTAGAAAAGAAAAAAATGAATTTGGATTACACGAAGTGAAAGCCATTTTTTCTTGGAAAAGCTTCATTGAATTTGGATTACGAGAAGTGAAGACCAATTTGACTTGGAAAATCATAACTGGATTTGGATTACGAGAAGCGAAGTCACATTTTATTTGGAAAATCTCAATCGAATTTGAATTATGAGAAGCGAAGTCAAATTATAATTGGAAAAGCTCAATTGAATTTGCATTACGAGAAGTGAAGGCCAATTTTACTTGGAAAAGAACAAATTGAATTTGCATTACGAGAAGTGAAGGCCAATTTTACTTGGAAAAGAAAAAAATTAATTTGGATTACGCGAAGTGAAAGCCATTTTTTCTTGGAAAAGCTCCATTGAATTTGGATTACAAGAAGTGAAGACCAATTTGACTTGGAAAATCATAATTGGATTTGGATTACCAGAAGCGAAGTCACATTTTATTTGGAAAATTTCAATCGGAATTGAGTTATGAGAAGTGAAGTTAAATTATACGCAGAAAAGCTCAATTGAATTTGCATTACGAGAAGTGAAGGCCAATTTTACTTGGATAAGAAAAAATTGAATTTGGATTACGGGAAGTGAAGGCCATTTTTTCTTGGAAAAGCTCCATTGAATTTGGATTACGAGAAGTGAAGACCAATTTGACTTGGAAAATCATAATTGGATTTGGATTACGAGACGCGAAGTCACATTTTATTTGGAAAATCTTAATCGTATTTGGATTATGAGAAGCGAAGTCATATTTTACTTGGAAAAGCTCAATTGAGTTTAGATTACGAGAAGTGAAGGCCAATTTTACTTGGAAAAGCACAATTGAATTTGGACTACGAGAAGTGAAGGACAATTTTACTTGGAAAAGCTCAATTGGATTTGGATTACGAGAAGCGAAGTCACATTTTATTTGGAAAATCTAAATCAAATTTGGATTATGAGAAGTGAAGTCAAATTATAATTGGAAAAGCGCAATTGAATTTGGATTACGAGAAGTGAAGGACAATTTTACTTGGAAAAGCTCAATTGGATTTGGATTACGAGAAATGAAGGCCAATTTTACTTGGAAAAGCTCAATTGGATTTGGATTACGAGAAGCGAAGTCACATTTTATTTGGAAAATCTAAATCAAATTTGGATTATGAGAAGTGAAGTCAAATTATAAATGGAAAAGCGCAATTGAATTTGGATTACGAGAAGTGAAGGACAATTTTACTTGGAAAAGCTCAATTGGATTTGAATTACGAGAAGTGAAGGCCAATTTGACTTGGAAAAGCTCAATTGGATTTGGATTACGACAAGCGAAGTCACATTTTATTTGGAAAATCTAAATCAAATTTGGATTATGAGAAGCGAAGTCAAATTATAATTGGAAAAGCTCAATTGAGTTTAGATTACGAGAAGTGAAGGCCAATTTTACTTGGAAAAGCAAAATTGGATTTAGATTACGAGAAGTGAAGTCAAATTTTACTTGGAAAAGTTCAATCGAATTCGGATTACAAGAAGCGATGTAATATTTTTCTTGGAAAATCAAAATCGAATTTGAATTACTAGAAGTGAAGTCAAATTCTACTTGAAAAACCGCAATCAGATTTGGATAACGAGAAAAGAAGTCAAATTTTACTTGGAAAAGCTCAATTGAATTTGGATTACAAGAAATAAGGCTAATTTTACTTTGAAAAGCAAAATTGGATATGGATTACGAAAAGCGAATTTGGATTATGAGAAGCGAAGTCAAATTTTACTTTGAATAGTTCAAACAGATTCGTATTACGAGAAGAAAAATAAAATTTTACTTGGAAAAGCTCAATCGAATTCGGATTACGAGAAGCGATTTAATGTTTTACTTGGAAAATCAAAATCGAATTTCGATTACGAGAATTTATATCCCATATTTTCACCTGTAAAAATGCAAAGTTAGTTCCATTATCATACCATACCATACCATACCATTATCATTATACCATTTGTAGGGGTAAGAAGTGGGACCATCATCATCATTAGCATCATCATCAATTCGATCATGGAACTATACAATAGTTATTCTTTTCATAAACATAATCGCCACCATGGTTCCTATCTTATACATAGATATTATTGGGAGCACCAACTTTCATTAACGTTCCAAATACCAAATAACCATACCTACTATACAAAGCTTTTGAGATGAATTTCTAAACGTGAAACGCCTAAAATATATTTCACAATACGTATGTTAGCATGTGAGCTTACAGACTCATTAAAAATTTCAGGACATTGTTCAAGGTAAAGTCTGAAACGCGAAAAAATTGGTCAACTTCAAATTGGTGTATTTCTGTTGAAAATGCATTAAAAAAAACATGAAATGCTGCTTTTGGAAGTTGAGTGTATATACAATGGTTGCTATGATGAGTTTTCACCGTTTGCTCTTCAGTTTTCAAAATGACGTCCAAGCAATAGGAGCAGCTTGTCAAAATTCTGCTCGCGCAGCAAGAAAATCCGACGTTCTCACACGCTAAGTTGACAAAATTGCTGGATTGGTGTTTAAAAGTGTTCGAGGAGCGTCTGTCGACCACCAGGAAGTCTGGAAGCGGCGGCATTCGTAATCCGGACATGGCAGCGAAGACAAAGAAGCTGGCGGTGAAATATAAGCAGAATCCTAACCTCTCCATACGGGACGTCGCTGGCAAGCTCAATGTCTCCCATACTACTGTGCGGCGGGCCAAGAAACGAGCCGGGATTGTCGACGTTTAAGAAGGTGAAGGTGGCGAACCGAGATTACAAACAAAACACGTCGGCAAAGCAGCGGTCCCGAAAGCTGTATACGAATCTGCTCACAAAGTTCGACTGTGTCGTCATGGACGACGAAACTTATGTGAAGGCGGATTTCAAG